TTCTGCTAACCTAGCAGTTCGAAAGCATGTAAAAGTGCAAGTAGAAAAATAGGGACCCCTTTGGTGGGAAGGTAACAGCATTCCGTGCGCCTTCAGCATTTAGTCCTGCTGGCCACATGACCATGGAGCCGTCTTCGGACAGCACTGGCTCTTCGGGTTTGTAACAGAGATGAGCAACGCCCCCAGAGCCAGAAACAACTAGCATGTATGTGCGAGGGGAACCTTTACCTTTTAAGGTTGGGGGCACACTAGGGTCAACTCAACTGTTACTCTTCATCATCATGGTTAAATAAAGCAACTGAACTGTGATCCCAGTCACTGAGAAGTTTCTTAGTGGCCTTTTCCTATAGACTTAGCTAAATTATATACTCGTGTGGATGTAGCACCTGTTCTCCGCACCTCCATACAGAGCCGATGGTGGCGCAGTGGTTAGAATGCGGCACTGCAGGCTAATTCTGCCAGCTGCTGGCAGTTCAATTCTCACCAGCTCAAGGTTGACTCAGCCTTTCCATCCTTCCGAGGTTGGTAAAATGACCCAGATTGTTGGGGACAATATGCTGACTTTGTAAAACGCTTAGAAAGGGTTATTAAGTGGTATACAAGTCTAAGTGCTATTGCTATTAAAGCAGGCATGTTCATTCCATAGGCTGCATGCAGCTCTGGACAGCTAGTAATGTAGCTGCCCAAGATTGTAAACTTTAACATTATTATGTGACTTGAATATAATAACTGAAGAACTGAACCGAAGAAGCTTCTTGGATGAGAAGTGAAATGTTCTCAAAGAAAACACCAAGAAAGTCCAGTTGCCTTTTGGAGAGAAAAAAAAACCACCTTTGGAAAACCATGATATGGATGATTGAGAATCTCCCTTGACATACAATACCCATATTATACATTTTATAGGAGGCCCAAGACAATTCCTGTTAATTTGGCCCAGGCAAGCCAAAAGATTGGACACCCATTCCCTAAAGCATGGAGGTGGGACTACAACTATAAAATGTTGCTCCCATTTCCATATTTCTGAGGAACTTCTGATGGATAGTTGTGCTGCACCACACTATGGAAATACTCTTTGTAGAGCAGCAGAGACTCTGATGTTCAAAGAAATGCATCGGATTCTTTGAATGCCAGAGAAACTGTTGCATTTGGTTAGGAGGATTAAATAATGTTCTCATTTAATGGCTTCTTTGCAAGCAATAACTCTTTTTGAGTTCTTCTTTCTCTTATTCTTACAGAAGGGTTGTTGAAGAAGGAATTTTCCCCCTCCCTCCAGTTTATATGGCTTCCTGGAGAATCAGTGGTTCTGCTTGAGTGAGACTGTCTTTCCGTCTGCTCAGATTCTCTTCCAGATTGTTGAGCGTCCCTGTGCGAGGGTCTTGCAGGCAGAGATGTCTGCAGCCATCCCCAATGATGTCCAAAATCAGTGGTGGGATTAATTTTTTTTTACTACCGGTTCTGTGGGCATGGCTTGGTGGGCGTGGCAGGGGAAGGATACTGCAAAATCCCCCTTCCCTCCTCACCCCACTAACCTGCTTTCCAGCTCCCTTCTCCTGTGCAAAGAAGACCCAGTCGATCAGCTGGGGACTCAGGAGGCAGAGAATAGATGGGGTCAGAGACAGTATTTGCCGGTTCTCTGAACTACTCCAAATTTCCGCTACCGGTTCTCCAGAACTGGTTAGAACCTGCTGAATACCACCCCTGTCCAAAATGTATCCCAGGATTTATGCAAATGATGCCATTAGATACTTGCATTACGAGATAACCAGTCCATCCACTTTGGTCATGGCCCAGCATACAATAAATAACATCACAATTACACTAAGATTAGAACCGAAAGTAAAAAAAAAGTCAAACTGTTAGAATAAAATAAAGATAAAATAATTAAGGTATAATTTCAGAGTATTCAAATGCAACAGAATCCTACAAAATTACCTTTACATTTTACATCAAATACCCAATGCTATATAAACAAAGACAGGTCGTTATAAAAAGTTGTAAGTAATACTAACATTTATAAAATACTACAAGAATGTAAGGCTATGCTAATTTAAGTCTAAGAATTGCTGAAGCTTTGCTAGCCTTCCAGGAATTAAGACTACTCCAGTCAATTATAGGAAAGAAGTAGCAAAACAAAACATGATATAATTACTTCATTTGGATAACGACATTCATTTTATTACTGGCTTCTCCAGGGCTTTTAGGTTGGATATCTACAAACTTGTGCCTAAAAGTCTTTGGTCTTTTTGCAGATCCCTACAGTATCTTGCAAGCTTTGAATGGTTCAGTGTTAAGTCGAAAATAAATCTTTCTGTGTTCTTATACCCCATTAAATTTCATGAACTTTATTCCTAATCAGGTATGTCTAGAAATAGCCTGCTGTGTGCATTCCTCTACATGCCAAATGAGAAATAAATCCTTCAGAGCATAGCAGAATAGATCTTATTTTTTTTCTTGTTTACTTATTTCTATCTAATCACATCAAGATTGCTATATTAATCATCAAAATAAATCATCAGTATATTTCCTGTGTCCATAGGAATTACACAATTGTGTTCGCCTGTATACTTTTTTTTGGTACTTGAATCGATTTATAAGCTTAATAAGTCGGGGACTATCTGTATATGCACTTTAGCAGACAGTATTAGTTTTATATTAGTTTTGAATTCGATCATTATTTTTTTTAAAAATTAAAATGTTTCTACTCTTCTACTCATTCTTCAATCCTCACATCAGGCCTTTTACTTTTTCAGGCCTTCTTCTGTCATTTCCATACGCAGATTTTTTGTTAAAAAATATTTTACTTATCCAAAGCAAGCCCAGTACTGATTGTGATTCAATCTGAATGATTAAATACTTGCAGCTTTCATAACAGTAATAAAAATGAAAGCAACTTAAAAAGAATTCCTGGTGAACTTTTAGTATTTGGAGCGTGACAAAACTCTTTCCAAAAACAATACAGTTCGAGATATTACATTCTAGTTATGGGTCTTTGAAAAGAGTATTGTTTTATCTGTAAATGTGAGTATTCAATTTGTTTTTATTGTTGCTTCCACTGTTGTTACAAGACTTCAGTCCAATATGATACTTTTTGTATTGTATTGATTTTTCTAAGAGTATGCTACTTTTTAAAGCACTGAAGCGTAACATTGTTACTAGTAAATAAGCTTTTTAATGTCATGTGAGCTCCATTATTCATTATTATGTTTAATGTCACGTGAGAGTTATTTCAAGGTTTTACTTTTCAATCCATTGAATTTAAACTCAAATTCAATTAAAACACCATTGTTTTACATAAACAGCTGCTATCTCTTTAATTGGAAGATTACTTCACCTTTAATTGATACTCCATTTTTGTTTGGTTTGGTTTGCAAAGGTTAAGCTATAAATTCTCAGTATCATAAAGCACGCTGGTTCAAAATGGAATATACAGTAAATCATCTTTATTTTCGGCATGACGTTCTGTCTATCCATCACACCTCACACAAGCTGCGTGTGTTTTTGATAAAAAGCTGCTGCGAGCAGATTCATCAGGATAAATCACATCTAGGCAATTGTAGGGCAGGTTTGAAAAACAAGCTAAAATACAAATGAACCACTATAATCTTATCAGGTGTGTTACTGGAATCCCATTGGGCCACTTCATTCGTTGCTCATGGCTCAGCAGGTAGTGTCAATCAAAAAATGGAGGAATTGAGAAAATCCCATTTTAGCTCAGTCTTGTGTTATGCCAACCCATCTCTTGAGTTCACACATTCAAGGCAATCAAGGACCATCAGTTAAAGATTTAAAAAAAATGTACTGGCTTATCAAAATTCAAAAGCCAACGCCCAACTACAAATCCTATTGGGCAACCATTTGATTGACTGGGATAGTATAAGGTCTTTTGCCTTGAGCAAGTGGGGTTGGACTAGAAGACCTCAAAAGTCCCTTCCAGCCCCATGTTCTGTGCTGGCTGGTGAAAAGAGGATTGGTGGTGTGGGAGAAAGGGAGTGGGGATGGCAGGCAGAAAGGAAGGAAGGAAGGAAGGAAGGAAGGAAGGAAGGAAGGAAGGAAGGA